AATTATAAAAATAATAATAGCTTAACTAATCTCATATAGTATTTACTATTATTTATGTAACAATAATGTAATAATTCAGTTAATAATTTATGAACAATTTACTGTATAAGAATTCAAATAGAGTGGATCTGTATAAGTATTTAATTGTACATAATATTTGAATTCAAAAAAGAATGTTTGTACCAAACTTTTAAGCAATGCAATAATTTTAAAATGTAACATTGGGTTTGTGTAATTAGCTGTATTTCATATCATTTTTGCATCCAAATTATGGCAAAACATGAACAGAACATTCTTTTGAACTTGATATCTTTTTTAAATTATTAACATAATTTTTTATTGCAAGAAGACACAGCGCACGCTGTAATTATTTCGACGGCTGCCATAGTAGAAAACCGAAAGCGATGTGAGTGCTAGGGCAGAGTGTGTATACACACTTCCCGCGATCCTGCTACGGCAGTATTTAGCGAAGTATTGCCGGCAGCGCGAGGAGCAGTGGCAGGGGCTGAATGTAAATGAGGCTTAAAAGTTTTCTTATACCGTTTACATGAACAGTTGTTGAAAAAGTTTTTGTTTAGTGTTAATTGTGGAAGTTTTTGTTATGTAATCTAAAAATAATGTATAATATGTATATTAACTATCTATAGCCTCATTTACATTCTGCCCCTGCCACTGCTCCTTGCGCTGCCGGCAATACTTCGCTAAATACTGCCGTAGCAGGATCGCGGGAAGTGTGTACTTACACTCTGCCCTGCCACTCACATCACTTTCGCTTTCGACTATGGCAGACGTCGAAATAATTACAGCGTCCGCGCTGTATCTTCATGCAATACAAAATTATGTTAATAATTTAAAAAGATATCAGGTTCAAAAGAAGATAGATAGATAGATAGAAAATTTATTTGCTTAAAAACATGGTACATAAGATGATCAATGGCGTGGAACTGACATGTTTTGCCATAATTTGGATGCAAAAATGATATGAAATACAGCTAATTACACAAACCCAATGTTACATTTTAAAATTATTGCATTGCTTAAAAGTTAGGTACATTCTTTTTTAAATTCAAATATTATGTACAATTAAATACTTATACAGATCCACTCTATTTGAATCCTTATACAGTAAATTGTTCATAAATTATTAATTGAATTATTACATTATTTTTACATAAATAATATTAAATATTATATGAGATTAGTTAAGCCGTTATTATTTCAATAATTACACTACAGTATAAATTAATTCATAATTTTAATTACAATAAAATTATTGTGCAAATATTACCATTTAACTTATCTTACATTTTAATAAATAAATAATCAATATGAGTTACAAATCGTTTTTAGAAATAAAATGTCAATGATCATTAATTCCTTAAACTAAATTTTATATTGATATAATACATTTGACGATTTTATAATTAATTGTGTACATAGGTACTATGTTATCTCCAAAAAAGAAAATTCGTATTCGTAGAAGATGATGAATTGTGGTTTTTATCGTTGAAATCCCATATAGTTTTTTCTGATTCCAGCAGTTCTAAAAACTTTATTGTATTTTTATTATTCCACTCGAAAGGTACTTTGGTAGATCTTACTTATTTAATAACAAGACGGCACGCACGTCCGTTCATCCAGTATGTGACACTCACTGCCACTCGCGCTGCCCGTCCTTTGACTTCCGCACGAAAAACCGACATTTGAGAGATCGTCGGGCAGTGGCAGCGGCAGCGGCAGTGTCAGCGCGAGTAGCCTGTTTACATACTGCCCGGCTCACTGCCCTGCTCACTTCCCTGCCCAACAGGGCTGAATGTAAATGGGGCATATTTGATAAATTTTAATGGAAAACGTCGTTCCATTTGTTGCGTCGATGGATGCTTAATGAGCAAACAAAAGGATTCACATATATAATTTTTTTAGATACCAAGAGAATATGAGAGGTAATTTTTTTTTGTTATATGAGTACTTATAGCGAAAAAAGAATGAGCTAATAATTTAGCTACAGAAGTTACACTTTAATACAAAACACAGTTGAAATTTACTTCACTATACCAGTCATATAATACTATATGACTGGTATAGTGAAGTACACAATAGAATTGAATGTAATGAATTGAAGTACACAATAGAATGGCTGTCAACCTTATTTTGTACCGAGGTTCGGAGTCGCCGGGAGCACACATACAAGCAATTACGTCGTATTATCAGTTAATCACTACGACAAACCCGATTCGCTGTGTTGACAGACGGATTTTAATACATATTTATTTGTAAATAGTTACATAAATTTGGAAAAGATTGTGACGCCAAAACACATCTCGTGTTGACATTTATACGTGTGAATTGACGTCTTGTGGCATTTTAGTGGCTACACGGGCTCCGCCCACACCCCCGTTCTATTATGTATGTATTATAGTATTCCATGATTCTACTACATACTTACATACCTATATTTGTCTTTTGTAATTAAAATAATAATTGTTTTAATAATAGTGAAATTAAAACTTTGTTCTAAAGATTGTTAACATTTCATTTAGGAATCGTATTTCGGGGTTTTTTGTTATTCACATTTTAATTTTTTTCCGATCCAAGCATCGCGATTGGGAACACAGAAGAACAGGTATTTGCGATTCAGAACCAGACTTCGGGCTGCTACTGAGATTTTCTTGACAGAGAAACCCAATTATTGATTTAAACAGGACTGAAGATTCAAACCCGGGACCTCATGGTTAGCAATCGCGTTTACCATCATTATACCAACGAATCAATCGGTACTACGACCACGATAATTGTTTGTTTTCATACGTTATAATTGGGCCAGGACTGATTACCGTGTTTTTTTCGTGCCTGGTATTTTCATAGCAAGTTTTCAGTGTGAGCCGTTATAGCGGGCCGAGGCCTTTAGTATTATATATTATGACGTATGTATAAAGTTATACGAGTCAAGTTGGCAGCTGCTAGTGTTAAATCTAATTTTCGAAATTCTGCTACGCCAACCGGCGTTGTGTTGATTTTTACAATTTGTGTGATTGAATTTCTAAATTTGTATTGAAAAAGTCTATTTGAAATACAAATTAAATAATGAATCGTAATAAAAGGACACTGGCTTAATTTTTATTATGATCAATGTAATTTAAATAACAAAAAAACATTACATAAGACAGTATTGAGTCACAATTAAGTTGATCAGATGTTTATATCATAATAATCCATCTGTTCATTTATCTATTATGCAGCCTATAAAAGTCAACTACTGAGCATATGTAGGCCTTCCTCATTGATTGTCTCATAGGGGGCCTTTTGGACACACACTCACACGGACACGCACACTCACACGCACACGCATACGCTCACAGTTACTGACGGTACTAGTCAATAGTCAAACAAGTAAGCAAGTAAATAGTCAGTTAAATATTTAGTAAATTGTCAAAAAATAATCAAATTATTAGTAAAGTAAGTAATCAAGTGAATATGCTAGTAAAACACAAGTATATAGTTAAGTATTGTTTGACATGAAGTAAAAAGTTTTGTTAGTATATTTACTTGATATATAATCTAGTAATTAGTCAATTCTTATACTTCTGACAAGTAAATAGATATAAAAATTAAGTAAATATTTTAGTTAAACGCAAGTTAATAAGCAAGAAAATAAGCAAGTGACTAGTCGTGTAAATGTTCAAGTAAATAATCAAGGAAATGAGCAAGTACAGTCAAGTATTCACAAGAATCTTCAAATGATTAGTCAAATAGATAATGAGGTAAATAAACCCTTAGTTTGCGTAGTTGTTCTCGAATAACATTATAATAGCATATAGAAAACTTTCTCATTTCAACCAACTTCAAAAAAGTAGGAGGTTCTCATATTTATTTGTTATATTTACGCGAACACTACACATTGTATAAAATTATCTACACGGATTAAATCGAGTTTAATTAACTTATTTTTAATTCCCGACCTTTAGTGTGCTTTACAGCACCGGTTGGACAGATCGGACTAAAAATTTATACTCAAAAACTGAAGATTGCCGAAGGTGGATAACTATGACATTGGGACGTTAAAAATCTCTTCACGGGTAGAGCGTGACCGTGGGTGCTGTAAGGCACCCGAAACGTCGGAAACTAAAAATAAGTTAATTAATCTCGATAAAACCCGTTGTAATAGTACCCGGTAACCCGGTGTAATGGTTTTATTCAAGGTGGTTCTTAATTCGACTGTGCTTTTTTATGGGTGTCACGTCAAAACATTTTTCTATGTGAACCGATTTTTATGATACTTTTATATTTAAAAGCTGTTGCTTCGCATATGGTACCATGTAAGTTTCATCAAGATCTGAGCAGTAGTTTTTTGAGTTATCTTTAATAATGCGTATTTATTTGACTTTGACTACATTGATGATGTTCTCTTTTTATTAATATTGAAGTCGGTTTTACAAAATTTTTAATTTTACCACTTGTTATTCATCTTATGCAATAAAACCACGTTTATTTTTTTAAAGCATTTCTTATATTCACGACAATGAGAGATAGATATATGAGAGAGAGAGAGAGAGAGATGCAAACGAGTTAGTAATCTCAGAATTGACACTTCTCTCCATTAATACTGATCTCTATCTCCAGTCTTTAAAACTTGGTTCCATATTCTTTTAGACAAATATCCCATTAAGCAGCCATTGCTAGGCTGTATTGGATGAATAAATGAGAGAACTTTATCTGATGATTGAAAAATCGGCTCATAATCTTTTTAGACTCCATAATTAAAGAAAAAATCAATAATAATTGTCATATCGACCGATTTGGATATTTGGATACACAGAAAACCTAAAGACGTATTGTCATATTGTCATATGTCAAATATCAATAATCTTAAGAAATTTGGTTTATACTTACGTAGTTTTAAATAACGTTTTTAAAATAAATGAGTGTAATTTAAACATTAGATTGCAATATTTTCAAACAGTGTGTAGAAAATGTTTTCGTTTCAGCGTTAAATTCCTAGAATGTCTTCACCAATATCGGAACCAGATATTCCGTTAGACCATGAGTGTTCATCATGTTTTAGAAAAATTAATGATAAAAATAATGTAAACAATTCTAAAGAATGCGAAAATATTGAAGATGCAATTAAGAGAATCGATTGTGATAATGAGCAAAATAAAACTATTATAGTTATTCCAAAAGTTTTAAAGATAGCTGATAAGGACGTGGAAACACCTAAATTTGCAGGGGATAATTGTGAAAAAAATTACGAAGAGGATGAAGAACTTCGCAATCGTGCGTATAGAATGTACAGGGAATATTTGGCTTGCAAAGATGAGGAGGAAAAACCATCATATGTTTATATTGAGCCCCGAAGATGTCCATTTAAAGGTAATTTTTATGAACGTTATAATATATGTAAGGTATACAAATTTATAAAATAAGATTTTTATTAGAAATTTATGGTTTATTGTTGCTTATTCTCACAAAGCCTCCCATAGTCTCCCAGATGTGATGAATCCACGACGTTTAGTAAAGGCCAATTTTGAACAAAAATATTTCACACTGACCACAACATACATAGTTGATAAAAATACTATAGCTTGGTGGTAGGACTTGTTTTTTGTCCAAGAGTCTACTTCTAAAAATCTACTATACTTTTATATTTATTTAAATATTTAATTATTTCTGCCGCCAATTAGCAGTCGCAAACTGCTGTGATCCAGTTTGAATTACAGACTGTAAGGCATTCCATCTTAGTACTCTGAGGTAACAACACATCTGTAGTCCTCCTAATTTGAACTCGGCTAAAGGTGTCCACGAATTGTACTAGTCACTTGCCATCAGGTGGACAAGTTAGTTCGTCATTTTAGTTTTTAACAAATAGTGCTTTTCTGTAATAGTAGTCGAGAACGCTTGGGCACTGGGCACACGCTTTAAATTTTACAGAACACGAGTAATCCTGGTTCAATCTTTGTATATATTATAGAAAATATTAAATAACTATTGCTCGGAAGTACGAAAAATATTGTGAGGAAGTCTGCTTCTATATTTTGAAGGAAGAAGTTTCAAACTCAAAGATACGCAAGTAATATTTTGAAAGCATATTCAAGAGTGGGGAGACATATACCAGAAACTATGAAAGATAAGTACTCGTAAGCATGTAGCATGAATGCAGAAAATGAAGCAGGGTGTGATTAAGTATGATTAGAAATACCAAAGAATTGGAAGCAAATGGTGGCAGGCTTACTGTACACTTTTTTAATTTATGCAGAGAACTTAATCGGGTACCAGGAGACCTGTGCAAAGCCGTTATAGTTCTACTGCATAAAGGAAAAAGGTGACAGCAGAAATCTAAGAACTGCGGTGGAATCACTAAACTGGTAGGAAAACAGTGTGCTCAAATGTTCGTAGAAAGAATAACGAAAGAAACTGGCACAAAAATAAGGGACGTGCATTGCGAAACGTAGATTTAGTTAAGATGTGATGGGGTGCGAGTGCGACTATAGGTTTTGCGCCAGGCTGACAAAGATGTTTCTGTGATTTGGACATGAAAAAAAAATGTATGTAGAGGTAGTGACAAAGTAAATTATGCTGCATATATAAGTGGCAGAGAGAGATATATTGAAGATCAGCAAAGTACCCTGACGAGTATGTTTATGTAGATAAATGGATAGGAAACAGACGAGAGCGGTATATTAGGACCATGCCCAATGAGAGTCTGTAGTCTCTATCTATCTCCTTGGGTGACAGGCGTGAGAATGTATGTAATTTATGTTAAAATAATTATTATAAACAAATTTAATTGCACTTTTAGGAGATGGATCTGACGAGGAAGGGGACTGCAATTATGACCCACGGTCGAATATGTTTCTGGCCATTGTTTTTATGATACTTTTTGTAATGCTTCTATGTACAACAGGATTTATTTATGTTGTGTTAAATTCGTAAGTAATATATATATTCCATTTAATTAAGAATATTAATTAAAATAATAATAATGATGTCCTCTAGACCGAACTTCGGCTACGGCGGCCTGTCTCAATGGATGCTAGCCATCGGCGCAGGACAGGATTATAGTGCACTCTCTATTCCCTCGCTCTCATAATCCGATGGGACGGTAAATCGACACGATCGGAGAGAGATCAGGCGCAGGACCAACGGCTTTGCGTGCTTTCCGAGGCACGGGGGTGAGACACCGCCAACTTCCTGACTCCGGGCATTTACTGAGAATTTGACGGAAAACTCAATAATTGGTTTTTTGTCCCAACCCGGGATTCGAACCCAGGAGCTCATGATCAGCAGTCGCACCACTATAACCACAAGACTAACGAGGCAGTCATCAATACATAACTAAAATATAATTAACTTTGATTATTAAATCTCGTTTCATTGTTCACAGAGAATCTTTGAAAGAATTTTTTCATGAATATAGCCTTTATTTGTCTATCCCTGCCTTGTGAGTAGCTTTTCTCAATTATTTTTTCGTAAACATTGTACCGTAATGTTATTTATTTTATGTTTTTCGTGGCACACTATATAGTGTAGTGGCGGTGTAAGAATATTCACTATCCCATATCGTCACGTGGGTGTCGTAAGAGGCGAGAGAGAGAGAGAGAAGGTGAAACAAGTGATGGGCAGCAGCATCTTCTTGATAACAACATTAACATTAAAAAACCGGCCAAGAGCGTGTCGGGCCACGCTCAGTGTAGGGTTCCGTAGTTTCTCGTCCGTCACAATAAGTGTTCCCACTTATGAGTTTAAAGGTGGGTATCCATTATGTTCGCGCTCCAGCGGCGCTCCGCGTTGATTGATAATGATTTCTTATAATTACGCGAACACTACACATTTAAATACTCGTAATACTAGTTTTTACGGATTTTATCGCGTATATTTTCTTTTTATTTGTCGAAGAAGATTGGTCAGTTTTTACAATCAGTCAAGTGTAATGTTCCTCTGCAAGATTCAGGAGTGTACAAGCTTGATTGTGAATATGGTTTCTCTTACATAGGACAAATTAAAAGATCAATTAATACCTGTGTTTAAGTAAATAACTATGAACAAGTACAGGATCGCCCCCGCCTCTACATCAGAAATCCTCGCTATAAATACCGAGTCCTTTTAAGGATGATTCGCGAGGCTATAGAAATCAAAAAACATCCCAATTTCAATAGAGAAGATGAATGGGCGCTACCATCAGCTTTAGATCCTATAATTAACAAAATTTTATCCTAACCCAAGCATACAACTGCAAGACTTCAAGAAACTATAGGTTCATACTGTGTAGATCGAAACAAAACAAATAATTTCAATCTGTGGGTAACCGCGGTTAACTATCACATCTGGACGTTTAACACCTTAGTCCCCCCGTGACCATGGGTGCTGTAAAGTGCTCAAAACGTCAGGAATATAAAAAAAATAATACACGCGACAAAATCCGTAAAAACTAGTATAATTTAAATGCGCTTGCGGTGTATGTAGATGTAAAATAATCAACAAATACCCTACAATTATTAAGAACACAGCAGTATCATGCATATTTCTGTAGGTTTCTATAGTTCTGTGTCTGATAAGTACAGTTAAAATATGGAAAAGGGGTACATATGTATTATAAAATATATAGTTATACGTGGTAGAGCCACGCAGCAGCTATGTTATGGTTGTAGCAGGAATGGATCGGTTCGACTGGGAAAGGACCACGCTCTCACAGAACATCAACGTAAAATAGCAGCTTAATGCTTCTGTGTTTCCTATGGTGAGTGTAGAGAACCGGAGACCCTTTTTTACTGGAAACTAGGCATTCCATCTTAGTCTTCAGGGATGACAACGCATCTGCATATTGATTCTCAATCGAGGATAAATGTACACGTCTATGGGCTACAGCATCCACTTACCATCAAGCTGACTGTGTGCTCGTTTGTCACCCCTATTTAAAAAAAAAACAAGAGCTTAAAACAATACTTAATATATGAACAAAATTAAGCTTCATTTAATTTGGAACCTTAACCGGCCCTCGTAGGTAATCGTAGAATTACTTGATAGTTTTTAGAGATCACATTAGTTAAGTTGAGTGAGCCTTACCCACTATTATATATTCTATCTACAAATTCATAAAGTTACAAAATGTATATATAACTATTAAAAAAATTTAATAGTTTAATAAATTAATATATTACATATTCATATTAATATTCATTTATTATTTATTTTAGAATTGTCATGATCGCATTAAATTATACCATGGCTTGTTCGGAATGCACAAGGTTGCCGCCCTGTAATTTTATTTGCCTCCTTTTGTCGGTAAGGTTTGTTAAATATCTGTTCTAGCTTTTATGGTAATTAAAATTAAAAAAATGCCATTAAAGTTCCTTTAATACTTTTTTGTGTCTCCGTAAAAAAACGGAGGTTTATCCATAAGAATACTAATATTTAAAATAAATTTGCACAATAATATATTGAACCTACACTAATCTGTAAAAACTTGAAATCATGGTAGAATCTTAGACACTTTCCAACGTTATAACAATTTGATAAATAAGAACTTGAATATAAGCAAATACAACTTGTATCGTGCGGTGGCGGTGTTAGAATATCAGCTATTCCATAACGTTTTGTGGGTGTCATAAGGGGCGACATAAGGAAATAAGCCTCCCTGCATTATGGGGAGTGGCGTTTTCCTAACCGTGAGTTTGCACTGACGCGATTTTCACAAAAAAAAACATGTTTTAAACACTTTTTTCTATCAATGTATCACAAAGCGTTTGCATAGTCAAAGAACATGTTGTATTGAAATATGTTTGACAGTTTCTTCTACATTACATATTTTAACTGTATTATATCTTTATGAAAACTACAGAAACAAAATGTTTGAAAACAAATTTGTAGAAATACTGTCATTTTGATAGATAACTTTGAATGTCTGTTGAAAATTTTACACAGTTTTTGTGAGTGCGAACGCCACCATCAACAAAACATGTTGTGTGTTTTATTTTATGCGATTTGTTTCAAAACATTACGTGTTGGATGTTTCTCAGTGCAAACGTACTGTTATAAGAAGTAAAAATTATATGAAACACTGCGGTAGCCATCGCGCTTGTCAAGCGTGACAATTATGGTAAATATCCTTATGTGGCATCTATGGGGAGGCCTATGATCAGCTATGGGCTTTGGTTGGCTGTCAATGATAGACGATGACCTGCTCAATACGTCACTTAAATTCTTCTTACTGGCTTTTGTATTCGTTTTGTAAAAATTAGTATTAAACGATATGATACGTAACATAAGGTAAAGCAAAATAATGGCTATAAAGAAGGAAGTTGTCGGTAATTTATTAACAGGACACGAAAAAATCTTTGGCACGATATTCTATCTAATTCAAAGCTGCTAAGTTGCATTACATAAAAGTTTGAAGTTAAGGAGGCTTCCAAAATGTGTATGTTTCTTCATATGAAACTTGAAAAAAGTGACAGTGCCTAACTTTATACATAATATTGTGGTTTGCAAGTGCATATTTTTAGTATTTACCCGAAATAGCTTTAGGAAGATTCTTTGTTTTAGCTAATTTTCACTTGCTAATACTGACTTTTGTTATAAAAGAATAAAGTGAAGTCAATTTACATCTACAAGAAATCTACATCCCACTGCTGGGCACAGACCTCCTCTTACTTCCAAAAGGGTTTTAGGGTAAGGAAGTTTCCGTTGCGCTGCCCCAATGCGTGTGAGGACTTCAGATGTCTTCGATACATTTTATTTATTTCTTAGACTTACAGGTCACGATGTTTCCCTTCCCCGCCGAGCACGTGTTAAATCAGGACTTAAACTTGCAATTAACAATTTTATTGGTACCAGCGGCGATCGAAACTGGGTTGCTCGCGTACTGTGCAATTTGCAGCGAGTGCTAAGCCCCAGAGCTCCCACGACTCTATAAAAAAAATAAAGACATTTGAAATAAATCATTTTTAAAGACCAGCTTTTCCTTATGTATATGTTATTGTCAATTTAAGATTATCCAACTTTTTCTATTCACAATGAGTGCAATAATGAATGAATTTAAAACTTTACTAATTATTTTACACTACTAAAAGTTCCTTTCGTATTCGTTAAGGTTTTCTGTCAATAACTACAATCATTGACAACTAAAAAATGTATATGTTTACAGGTGGCTGCAATGAGTATTTTAGCTGCTGTGATAACTGTATTAGTTAATACAACTCTTGTCTTAATGGCTTTTGCTGCTACTGCAGCTGTTGTTTTCTTCTGTATTTTATTAGCGTACTCTCACGTAAGTACATTTACTACTACAAAATTAAAGTAAAATTACCGCCTATATTCGTCCCAATGCTAGGCTCGTCTTATTCTTAAAAAAACGCGTAAATATCCGTCGCGCCTCCTCAACGCCTCATGCCGGATCTTCGAACCTTTTTATTTTTATTTTTTTAGACTGCAGGTTATCCAACGCTTTTTCGCCGTTCATGTGGTGAACGAAAAAATTACAATTAACAATTTCTTGCTGCTCTACCCGTTCCCCCTCTTATTAAGTTACTGCCCCACGAAAGGAAAGCATCAAAAAACCTGATTAATAAATAAGTCAAAAAAATATTTCAAGACATATCCAGAACCCAAATATCACGACTCTGTTATGTGGTTTTTTCAGCTAGTGATTTCATCTGTCGATAGACTTCACGCTTACGTAAATATGCAATTTTCACAATTTGGATTGGCAGCTATTGCAATTGCCATCGATGATGAAGTATTGGAAAAACGAAGCGAAACTACTAAAAGAAGATGGGGTGTACATCCAACCTGGAGAAAGCGAGAAGCAGAAGGAGAATTTGCTTTACTTTACAAAGAATTAATAGATGATGAGAGCAAGTTTTATGGTTATTTTAGAATGTCTAAAGAATGCTTTACTTTTTTACTTGAAAAAGTAAAACCAGACCTAACCAAAAAAATTACAAGATTTCAAAAGCCTATATCTCCCATCGAACGATTAGCAGTCTGCACCAGGTAAATAATAAATTGATATGCACTAAATCACAAAGTATTTAGAAATGTAGTATTTAAAAATTGACCTGTCTCAAGACCATCTATCAGAGCTGGTTGTAAGATGGGTCGATTTTTTCTAAATACTTCATTTTAAATTTTTCAACAATCAAAATTGCATTGTGAATGAAAAAAAGTAAAAATTTAAATAATTCGCATAGTATTTATTCATTTCATTAGTCTGCCGTGAACTCTGAAAATAAAGTAGACAAATTATTAAATTCCAAAGGCGTAAGTTCCGAAGGCGAAGGTTCCGAAGGCGTAGGTTCCGTAGGCGTTGATTCCGGTGTTGGCGTTGGTGTAGTCATCGGAGCCGGTGCATACACCGACCTTGAATTAGTAGATGACGCCGACGTTGTTCCACTCATTGGAGATGTGTAAGAAGAAGGCTCTGATGACAATTGCTCCCACTCCAAATCTTGTACTACTGCAAATATTCTTCCTTTTGCAAGATGCTGATAGTAAGGGGAAAAAGATTTTATGATGGCTGCCAAACCGTTGAAGAAAGCATCAATAGGATGAATGTCTTGTGTGTTGGACTTTTCTTTATTTTTTAGAATGTATTCCATTAATGCGCTTGACGCAGAGGACGGGGATTGTGGCACTATACGACGGCAATTGTGTGCAGTTGCAACGGTTGCATTGCGATTGCGGTTGCCGGAACGAGTGAATTGTGCAGTTGACGGGGGATATGGATTCGGATCAGCAGGTGGCGTAAAATTTGGTTCACTAATAGCTGGTGAGCGATCTTCCTGCTGCTGCTGTTCATCGGTGTTAATTGTTTCGTTGGGCGTAGTAACTGGCGAAGTAACCGTTTCGTTTTGCGTCTCTTCGTTCTCAGACTCGATACTTGTTATTGTATTTCGATCCTGTATATGAGGCAGTAAAAAATTCAAGCTCTCTTCATATTTATATTTTTTTATAGCCACAGCACCCTGTCCACTCTTGGTTTTACGTTTGTTTCTATGTTTTTTGAACTGGTCCCGTATGTTTGCCCACCTTTTTTTTTTACATACATCATCTACAAAAAGATAGTATAGAATGAACAAGTAATTTTCTTTACAACCTGTATAAATGGTACTGTTAATACGTAATAGCTGACTATAGTACACAGATACCGCGAAATTATGCCATTATTATTTTTTCAGGTTGCTGGCTACTGGGGATTCGTTTAAAACTATTTCGTACAGTTTTCTATTGGGGCATTCAACTGTGACCGAAATTGTACATAGCACATGTTGATCTATCGTTAAAAGATTTAAGAAAGACGTTATACCAGAACCAACAGAAGAAATGCGGCGTAAAATTTCCGAAGATTTTGAAAACCTTAGAGGTTTTCCAAATTGTATAGGCGCATTGGATGGAAAACATTTTGTTATTGAAGCCCCAGCCAATAGTGGCTCTATATATTTTAATTATAAACACACATTCTCAATTGTTTTATTGGCGTTAGTGGACGCATGCTACAAATTTATTGCAGTTGATGTTGGCGCTTACGGACGAAACAGTGATGGTGGCATTTTTGCACAATGTAATCTTGGAAAACGTTTAGAAAATGGGACGCTTCATGTACCTATTGGTAAAAATTTACCCGGTTCCTCTACGTTTGCACCATATGTAATAGTTGGTGATGAAGCGTTTCCTTCGAAAACATACCTAATGTGACCGTATCCAGGACACCAAGCAACAGGTGACGCTAATAAAACGAATTTCAATCATAGACTCTCAATCATAGTCTCTCTAGATTTCAATCATAGTCTTTGGCCCGGCAACTAGTCGAAAATGCCTTTGGTATTTTGACACAAAGATTTAGAATATTTTAAAGAAGAATGAAACTTGCTCCAGAAAATGTTGATTACATTATTCTATCTACATGCGTACTGCATAATTTTTTATGGGAACAAAAAGATTACACAGGGCTTATCAATCATAGTGCACAAAATGCGCAACCACATTTATTAAATCCATTGAGCGTTCAACCAGGAAGACCGGCTAATGATGCATTTGCGGTAAGAGAAACGTTTAAAGAATATTTAGCGTCAACAGCGGGACGTAATTTTATAGGACAACAGTATCAAGAATAAATACATACTTACACTATAATATACTTCTTATAATTTACCTAACATATTCTAAAATACCTACTAAAAACCGATAATCCCACTCACATGAACTTACATGTTGTCGTAAAGTAATTAGTGACACTTGAATAACTATTATAAATGTAAATTGAAATAAAAGTTACAACTTACCAGATTGTTTTATTTCATCCGAAATGGTTTTCCAAATAATATTTTTGTGTTTGTTATCTAAATACTTAGGATGGCTCATATCGTAAATCACAGGGTACTTGCGCACACATTCTAATAATTTTTCATCGTCCATTTTGCTCTTGAGCTGCTCACTTCACTAAGATTTGACGTTGACTGCTCTCCGGGCGCCCGGGCGCATATCGGTCAGGCATGAATCGCTTCATACAAAAAGTACACTATAATGTTTGACCGTGCCCCGGCCGGGGCACGGCCCGGCCGCGCCACGTTGTAGCGTGAATCATCCTTTAGGGCAGCGCGGCGCACACTTCCTTGCCCTAAAACCCTTTCAGAAATGAGCGGAGGCCTGTTCCCAGCCGTGGGACGTATATAGGCTGTAACTTTACTGCGGGAATATCTAATGGAACTAAAGTAGTTAAAACTTTTAGATCCCCGCCGGCAGCAACGAAACTAGAAGTTTATTTGATGATAATGCAACTTTAATGTAAATAGTTTTATGATTATAAATAAAAATTAAAATATAACTATAGATGGATACTCGAGTAGCAGCCTCGTACTGGTAGGCGTAGTGTAGGACGACCGCCCACTAGATGGAGTGACGACATGGTAAGACATGCAGGAAGTCGATGAATGCCGGTCGCTCAGGACCGTGTTTTGTGGCATCCCTTGGGGATGGCCCATGTTCAGCAGTAGACTTGTGAAGGGCTGTAATTATGAGATGGTTTGCTATTTTACGGCGCATGAGAAAAGCCCTAATCATATCTCTTACCTCGGGTGTCTGACTATCAGAGGTTGAGAAGTTGAGGTTTGAGGCTGAAGATTGCTTGATTTATCGATTGATTGATTTATGAACAAATAACTGTTCTTAACAAAAAATGTTTCTTACAATATTAAGGTAATAAATAGAATCAGGCGTTATGTATTTTGTGGAAATCTTTGAAATTAAACATGTTAAAAATTTATTTGTAAATTAAATGTACATCCTATATACGTCCCATTGCTGGGTTCTCCTCTCCTCATTTCTGAGAGCAATGCGTGTTGACAAACTTCACATGCCTTCGAAATATTTTTTTCTCATTCCTCAGACATGCAGGTTCCCTCACGATGTTTTCTTTCACCGCCGAGCACGTGGTAAATCAGCACTTAAAATTGCAATTAACAATTTCATTGGTGCCGACGGGGATCGAACCCGGGTTACTCGCGTTCTGTTATATTTACAGCGAGCGTTAACCATCTGAGCTACCACGGCACACACAGCTTTTTTATTTGCTAAGATACCCGTAATAAAATAAAATGATGTGTTTGTGTTGTGTGTTGAGGGAAAACGGGAAGGAGGTGCTCTTCAAAATAGGTAAGACACATGATTTTATTTTATCATGCGGATTTTAGCAAATTAATTCTTATCATGTTTTATACTCTATAACTATTTACGCCTTTTTATATTTAGTTACGATGTTTGAGTGATCCTGTTTATTCTTATACCTTAAGTTTCATGCGTGAAATGTAATGAATAGTATTTTTTTTTCATTTCCAGTTTGATTTCACGACGTGGTTTTTGTATGTCATAGCTATTTTTGTTGCACTGTTCGCAATTGGTATACTAGTGATATCCGTTAGAAGAGTTCTCGGTATGCAATATGGTGCGATAGAACTATTTATTCTCATTGTAAGCACAATAGTAAACGTTGTGGTAAGTATTCATAAAATATTAAAATACGAAAACATAAATTTTAACAAAAGTTTGTATATGACTCTTGTTTCTATACAAAATTGTCTAATCAAAATAATTTATTACAAGCAAATTGTTTTTTCTTTATTTGAATATATTGAAGTGGCGTCATAGAATCGCAATTCATTTTAACCCGTTTCGTATCGTAGTGCCGAGACACGTAAAATATGTAATATATAATTAAAGGGTTATGAATATAAAATGTAAACTTACTCTTTAATCCACACCATAAATTTTAGAAGTCAGAAAAGCAAATCAAAAAGCTAATCTTCTAATATATATATATATACTTACACAGATTTTCTGCCCTTTTCGACGACCCTTTGTCATGTTCTATTAAAAATCCTTAAATTCGCAAAAAATTAAATTGTGGGTCACTCATGGAAAAAAACTATCCTATCTCTCAAGTTGGACCAAACTGCACACGGTGTGCAAATTTAATTCAAATCAGTTAATAGTTTAAGAGTCCATTGCGGACAAACAACGTGACACGTAATTTATATATATTAAGATTTATATATATATATATATATATATATATATATATATATATATATATATATATATATTATCCAGAAGATTTAGCTTTCCACGACCGTGCATGGGTGTTGTAAGCTAGATGGAGTGACCTGATGTGACAGAAGGTAGAGTAGTTGATAGATACGATCGGATCAAAACTATGCTTGGTGATAGTCTAAAGGGGAGGCCTAGTAGAGGCTAGTTCAGCAGTTTCGTGTAATGAGCTGCAATAAAGATGATTGCTTACTTTTGATTAAGTATTCTCAAAAATCAATGTCCCATAACACATTTAGTGTGCGATAGCACGGAATCCGCAATTAGACCAAGGAAAGACAGACTAGGAAACATCGATATACATATTTATTAGTATCTGTTAGTTAGAGCAAATATTATTAATGATGGTTTACAATATTATATGTCGCTCAACATACTATGGAGAGGGCTATGTTT